CAAGGTGCTCTACCACTCGCCCACTGGAACAGTGTACATGGAGGAATCTATTTGATAATAAGTTGTGGTAATATTGTGTGTTGAATTACTCGCAAAGTGGAGTTTTCGTGTCACGACCCCTCTTCGTGGAGTTATTGTGTGTGTGTGGATATTGTGTGGCGTACGGTATGTATTTTGCTTGCATTCCTACTTTGGCTAATGGACCGCTCTTCCCTGGTGCCAACGAATGCGATCGTTTTGGAAAGGCCATGAAAACCTTGGTCAACGCAGTGTTGGGTGAAGCAGAAAGTGAAACAGTTGGAACGCACTCAATTCGGAAAGGAGTGGCGACATTTGTATGCTCTGGGAGCACAAGCGGACCATCGGTTATCAGTGTGTGCCTACGGTGCGGATGGACGTTGGGAAACGTGGTAGAAAGGTACATGCATTACGAAAAGGCTGGCGACCAGTTTGTTGGCCGCGTAGTTGCAGGCCTCACGCTCAACAGCGCCGACTTTGCCGTGCAGCCTCCCCACTTTGCCACCACAGACAATCCTGTTGTCACAAGCGCACTCCGTTGCATGTTTCCTGGTCTGTCGAAGAGCGTGTCACTCTTCGGGGTTCTGAAGCTCGGTTTGGCATCCATCGTTCACCGTGCCGACTTCCTCCGTACGACCCTTCCGTCCAGCCACCCAGTCCTCCACACGGCGATCTTTCGAGACTACTTCATGATGTCAAACCGCAAGGCACTTGTCCGCACCACGTCAACGGCGATGAAGCCAACTGGCCTGCCCCCGTACGTTGAGATTTACCGCCACCTGCAAGCCCAACAAGAATCATTGGAAGCCGTCGCTAGCGAAGTGCTGTCGGGAGTCCAGAAGATTCTGGACGAAAAGCATGAAATCTGAGATCATAACAATAAAAAACGATAAAGTTGTGCCAATACGTATATATGGTTTGTGACTTGGGCTATTTGTGGCCAAAAAGTTGTGCCAATACGAATATGACTTGGGCTATTTGTGGCCAAAATCCGACTTCATCAGAGATATATTACTTATAGATATATTTCGAAATGCTTGAATATTTTCAAAATCACTTCGTGGTATTCATCGATGATCTCATACAAAGATCGTACAACGAACAAGATAAACTCATGAAGACCTTTCGTTGCTATTTAAGTGATCTACTTTGCTTCGAAACCTCTCTTGCCCATGTCATACTTATAACAAGATAAACGCTAGACGCGCTTAGTTTCCAACCTAGCTTGCCTATGTTCTTACTTGACAACCATAAACAAAGACCTAAATGCAAAGATATGTATTACGCTCCTAATAATCGTGGGAGTGTTCGCTCTCTGGCTTCTTCGCTGGTCTCGCGGCTTCGCTTCTTTTTCACGGCCATCTTGGCGGCGTTGAGCAACTGGTCATCGTCAGCGGCGAGAGAAACCGTGCCCAAGGTACTGTGGCTTGGCCGGAGCATGACCCACGTGCTTGGTCGCGCGCGAATGCATCAACTTGATGACCGCCTCGGTCTGCGCTGCGCCGAGAATCGCGGCCAAGAACCTCCCCGTGGCGCTAGCGGGCATGATTTTGCGCTTGACCCTCGCGTACTCTTGTCGCTGGCGTCGGATCCAAATGAGCGCGCTGAGCGAGTGGGACACCTTCAACGCTTTGGTGCACAAGCGCAACTTGTAGACGCGAGGGTACTTGGCCAGAGGATCTGCGATAAGAGGGGTCCCGACGATTTCTTCGGTGTACTCGCGGTCCGCGGCGTCCTTGCAGCCGACGAGACCCAAACCCGACACCATGCCGACGGCTTCGGCAATCCTGTGGGTGAAGCCCACGCCTTTGCGTCGTTGGTGGCTATGATGAGAAGGATGCCGTCGCTACATCTAAACGACATTTTGGTTCGGATCTGA